GGATCGAGGACAAAAAACGTGGGTACATAGCCAATATACCAAAAAGGCTATGTGTTCTTCGTCGATCACGACCTTCGATTCGTCATCGACGAAATGCTTCTCAAGAAAATGTCCGTAAGCCTTCGATTCCCAATCGATTTTAGATCTCAAAGAATTATCCGAAGGGTAAGCACCCTTATAATACTTCTCCCCAGTAGGTTTTAGTCCGGTTATAGCGAGCAACCTCAAAGAGAGTAGGTGACAGGGGACCACGAGGGTAATTCCAAGGCATGCAAATCCTTGTTCCACAAATGCACGGCGAGATAGAAACATTGTCATATCCAAAGACGACAGATCGCATCGAGATAGGCTGTAAAAAATCAAAAATCCCTATATCTCTCCAGTGGTTCCCAAACTTAGCTTGTACTCTATCAAACCACCTAAGGAATGAAGGTTTTTGGAAGGTGGACCCGTTCGGTATACTCTCGATGCCATATTCAAGAAATCCGTCAGAACCTCGGGGTGATGAATAAGTGTTGGGCTGTTCGAGAGGGTGAAGGAAGAAAAAGTCCCACTACTAGAACGGACGGGACCCCCAAAACCAAAATTAACACTATCGGCGGTGTAAGGAATGAGTACACTGCGTCTCGGCAACTTTCGAGAAGCCTCCTCCATCGGAGGGATTGGAGCAAACTTTTGATTATTGATTTCCAAAAGGTTGGCCGTCAGCGAAGGAAGAGGTGGAGCGGAAAAGTCGGAAGACTTAGAGGAAGTTGTCATTTCGGTAATAGGGAGATTAAGAGGAAAACAAGATAAAAGGAGGGGGCGCAAGGATGAAGACAGGAACTCAAGGAAGAAGATGAAAGTGTAAAGGGACAAAAGTTCGCGTAAAAAACCCGAGTAGAAAACCAATAGAGTTTAAAAGGGAAAATCGCTTAGGGAGTTGGAAACGACGGAGGTGAAAGGTAATAAATGTAGCGTGTACTGTAAAAGCAGCAGACTGACGAGATGGCGACGTAAAGCAAAAGGGAAAACTAAAACCCTTTTAACCTTAGAACCCCAGAAACCCTAAACCCTAAGTCCTGTGGGCCTCCAAACACTAAGGCGGGAATATTGAAAGAATATAAACAGAAATCATTTATATTCTTCCAAGGGGGCATTTTGTTAGTAGAAAATCGAGAAAAGCGATCGAAAATGAGGGAAAGGAAAGAGAGAACACGTGACTGATAAAAAACCATTCGATGTCTAAAGCACGTAACACATAACATCGATAAGTACAATCGAGAATCGAAGGAACGATAGTCAAATGCCTATTGTCGAAACCTAAGAAACTAGAATGATAAGACGTTAAGGTTGAAAAGGAATCGTAAGCAATTCGAAGTTCTCGAAAGTGTAAAATCGAAAATGAAGAAAGCTAACCTACACGGACATCGAAAACCTTGGCCAAACCATAAAGAGAAGAGTAAGTCAAACGCACGGATAGAGAGCAGTTTCTAAACCATGGAGGAAATCAAAGATCGTGAGAACGTGGAAAACCGTAGGAGATAAACCGCCATATGCACGTAGAACGTGGTAGCAGTCGTGTTAACTGCTCTTGGAAGACTTGAACGATGCACTATAAATAGAGCAAAGAAGGAAGAAATAGAGAGCAGAAATTGGCAGAGAACAGAATCAGTAGTGAAAAGTCTACCGGAGAAACGACGAACACCATGAAGTTTCTGGCAATCTGGATTTCCTTGCTCGCTGAGTACATTTACCGCTTTCTATATTTTCCTTGGTAATTTACCTTGATGCAATTTACATTCAGCAGTTTTTTTTTTTTTGGTATTTTCGATTCCTTGTCATTTCAATTCAATGAAAGTTTAAGTTTCTGTATTTACGATTTCCTGTTAACATTCTGCAAATCTCGATTTCCTGTCATTTACTTTTCTTGCAATCTCGATTTCTTGTCATTTATATTTGCGCTATTTTCGATTTCTTGTCATTTATATTTGTGCTATTTTCGATTTCTTGTCATTTACAATTAATGCAAATTTGGGGTTTTCGCACTTTACAGTTCCTCGCAAATTAATATTCCGTTTCTCGATTCGATACTTTTATTGCTTTCGGTATTTTAAATATAAAATACTAAAAAATAGCATTTGATATTATGGGACTTTCGATTCTCATACACGTTGTCGATTGAAAGTCAGACTGCTAGCCTAAGTAAAAAGAACTTACGTGGTAGAATTTTGATTAGGATCAAAATATCTCAGGAAACGAAATCGATCGAAATTCCACCTAGAAACAACTAGAAATAGATTTTTGGTTCATTTTGGTTTTTTAATTGTTATCTTTAAAGGTTATTGGTGTCAATCATTATTGATAAATTAATTGTTATAAAATATAAATTAGGATTTAATATTAAGAAACTGATTATTAGTGACTTTGTATATGTGGAATCCATTTAAGTAATCATTATTTAATTTTAAATTTCCTCTAAAATTTTAAAGATTTTTCTTGATCAAACCTTAATTATGTTGACTTAAGTTTTTCAACATAAAAATTGTCCAGAAATTACCAAGAAGTGGAGATTGTTTTGTTATTCAAGTCATTCATATTGAACGCAATCTTGGAAATCTAACAAACGTTTCCCCGTCAATAATACAATTAATTTTTTTGATATCGAATGGTTACATATCCTCGTCAAACGTGGCCTTCGTGGTTTGTGAAACGTCAAAATTAAAGTTATAAGTTTCATATATAATATTAGTTTACAAAACTTATACACTCTTGGGGCTAAACCACATCACGTATGAACACAGTTAACTGCTTCAAATTATATCAGTTTTTTTCTGTTTATTTGTCTCTTGTAAAGAGGTCAATATACAGTTTTTAATGATGAGATTATGATAATCTCTACCTCACACGGTGCCAGAGAATGTTGGGCTTCGTTTAGAGAAAGTAAATGGAAAGTGAAGAACCATATATAAAACTAAAATTGTGTTCTGCTGTGTCAATTTTTTTTATATCATTTGAGTGTTTAAATGTTAGGAACGAGACTAATTATATAAAACGATCATAAAAATAAAAAGTGAGAAAATAGAAATAAAATGGATAATAATTAATAATAAAATTTTATTATTAAAACAATTATATTTTTTTAAATTCAGTGAGAAAATAATAATAACATTTTTTTTCATAAATAAGAGAATTTATATAGTACCACTAGTAGAAAAGAGAAAGATTTGAATTAATTTACAAGATAAACAATTTATATGAATATCAATATTTTACATAATTTACACATTTTCTTTTTCAAATTTCATTAAAAAAATCAAATATTCTTTAGTTTAGTACTTCTTTAGCATTATATTTTAACTAACACATATTGTTCGCTAAAATAAAATAATAAATAAATTATCAATGACATTTTTTTTATCTGTATCAAATTTTATAAACTTAATCTACTGCATATAAACGCTTTAGATTTTTCATATTTTTAGAAAATATATATATATATATATATATATATATTAAATAATCTAAAAACATACTTTTTAAAATATAAAATAAAATAAAACTACACTTGAAAACTTGCCTTTTTTTTATAAATATATCTATATTATTAAAAAGATTAAATGTAACGAAATAGATATTTGATATTGCAAGTACAAGTAATTATGGTATTCTGTTTACAGGGGAAAAAGAAAACTCATTTAAAGTACGCATGAATATATGTTTTTTTGTCCGTCACTGATTTTATTCATTGGTAGAATTCTTTTTAATTGATCTTAATTATGGTGCTTAATCGAATGCCCCCTGCTTAAAAAAAATGTACCCGTGTCTGCAAGTGCTCTCTCTAAGTCAGTATTTTGTATTCTCTTGTATCCCCACCACTTTTAAATAGTTAAAGTGTGTCATAAAAAAATATATATATATATATATATATATATATATATTTTTTATTTTTATTTTTTTTTTCTTGAAATTCTACAATTCACGCCAAGACCAATTAAGGTTTTCTCACACAGCAATGATTCTAGTCAAACATAGACTTGAGCACTAAACTTTATTCAAGTCAAAAGTTCCATCTGAACCAGCATCTAATTAAAATGTAGCATCAAATGTCAATAGCAATATTATACCAATTGATCCAATAAAATTTTCAAGGTGTTATCATATTATACAACACATTGCTGCTAATTTCCAAGCCTGGTCATTGTTAGCTATCAGAATAAACCATTCAAGTGACTAGATATACTTTCATATTACTTATTATTATCATTTATATTATTACCATTTTTTCAAACCACTCTTTTGTTATTTTAATTAACTGATAACGAAAAAAATACCGATATCACATATATATACGGAGGTGGGTGGAGCTACGATGAGTTACAACTGTATCCAAATTTTAAATATTAGTAACAGATTATTAGAAAATTTTCAAGTCGTAGCGAAGAAAATGGTATTATAGCCAAGGAGTTGACTTTGCTTTTGAAGATACATATCTTCCAAATCTGAAACAAGACAACTTAAGTAATATGTTGACAAAAATACCAAACCAGACAGTGATCCGAGAACCTTGTATAATTGTCTTTGCGTTGACTGACCAAATGTTTGTATTAAACAGATCCATAGCAATTATGAAGCGATAATATGGTATAAACGCTTGCATATCTAATGCAAAGAAGAAACAAGATTACAGATCGAGTAGCAGTTTTTATGAACGAAAGAGGATCATGAAAAAGAACACGACAGAGAAATCAAATTACCCTAACAAAATCAAACTGATGAACATATTCTTCTCATGTTCAGAAAGAATGAATTAAATTAAATCTCCCTACATAATTCACACTAATTTGATGATAGCCATGCCATAGTTGTTCAGCTCCGTAACACTAATACAACAAAATTTACAAAAGAAAGAAAAATTGGCTAAAGAGACCACCCTATTTCAGCACAGAAACTGAACTATTATTTAACGAGATAAAGTTGAACCCTCGAGCAAATATGAACAAAACGTGCACCCAATTTTATCAATATTCAGACAGTTCTTTCATGAATTCCAACGCGGAAGGGGATATCAAACTTCCCAAAACCCCATATGGGGAGTCAGAATATTTATACACTGATGATCGAGATGAGTAAAAGAAATCTGAGGGATTTGGAGTGAAAAGTGGCACATCAGCAAAATCCAGATAAGAAGGACTTTGTTGAACAACTGCACCACTCTCTATCAAATTCTCACCACCCCTCCTAAGAGCTGAACTTGTTTCATTACTATTGTTGTTGGAACCATCAGACAAAGATGAACCGATATTCTCAGAGGTCTCTTGAGGAAGTGAAGCAGTGGTCACGTTATCACTGGTGCTTGATCTACCCGTGAGTCTTTGAACAAGAGCCATGAAATCTTTAGCCTTCGAATGGATAACCTTGGGTGATTCAGTGTAAATGATGATGGGATTAATCCTCTGTGGCCTCTGGAGTTTGGTTTGTGCATCAACACATGTTGAAGGCTTGCGTATCATGTGGGAATCTTTGTTGATAACCAAAGGGGAAGGACGAGGACCATTGATCACCTTCTTTGGCTGTTCATGATGAAAGCCATACAACTTTGCACCAGGCCTCATCTTAGTTAATCTTCAACTCAATAAACCAACGTGAAAGAGATGAGTCGAAATGTTAGGTGAAAAATTGAAAAGTACGAAATTCGATAATAGGGACTGATAGAAAGGTGGGTGGGTATATATATACACACAATGAGAGAGATTGCGAAGGATAAATCTTAATAGCCTACAACTATGACCATTGACATTTTAGCTACAGTTCATAATTGTCAATATGAAATATATATCTATATATATATATATATATATATATATATAATCTTTTATGTATTAGATAATGAGTTGTGGTTTTTTATTTGACTGCTGGTGTGTTTGAATCATAATTATTTAGTAGCTAGGAGTTTGTTTTACCTGATTAATAATGTGACTAGTAGCATGATAAAAAAAAAATGAAACTGACCAAGGGTGATGGTTGTATACCCAAGAAAACTTTTGATTTGAACCAAAATAAAAGTAAAATGTTGGAAGAGGATTATTATAATTCTGATGAGTTGGTTGTTGATTTTGTTTGTATATTGTAACACGTTAGGCCTCCACGCTGTAGTGCCTCCATAGCCGCCCGCAGGCAGATGACCCAGAACTTGTCGCCTTCTCCAATTCAATCTTTTCGTTTTTCTCCTGCCACGAAAATTGCATCTGATATCGATTACGTTTCAAATTTTATATACAATTAATTTCCTTTCCCACTGCTTTCTTTTATATATTATTTTACTCTCATATCTCTGCAGTTTTCTATTCTTCTCCGTCACTCCTCTTGCTATGGATATACTATATAACTATAGCTTGAATTTAGCAGAATCAAAAATCCCATTTTAAAAATAATTAAAATAAGGTGTAAATGATGCAGAATAGCTTGGAAGCCAAGGTTTGTGTCACCATTCTTTGCTGACCATGGATAGGGTATGTTTTCAAGTTGAGGTTTAGAAGGAACAGGAAAATGACAAGAAATATTCTTTAATTTACTTGTTTAAAAGAGTGTAATAATTATGTACTAATAATGATATAAAAAATCATTTTGTTAGTTGTATGATTTTTATAATAATTATGTATAATATTACACATATTTATTATAACTTATAAACTTATCAATACATGATAGTTTATAATTGGATAACATAGAAAGTATATGAACTTTTTCTCCTTATAAAATTATAAAATGTTAGATCAGCATATAAACTTAATATTTCTAATCCTTTACTATGTGTATAAACTTTATACAACTCTCTTAGATTTAAAAAGGAGGGATTTAATTTTTTACTCCATGAAAATTTTAAATATTTGTTTAAAACTCATTTCTTTTCAATAAAAACAATCCTTTTAAATAATAATGGGTGTGATTGCATCTGAACCTAGTGAATTTCTTAGAGAAGATTTGAGCTTGCTTTTTACACAAGACAGCTCTAATAATTTATTTCATTATCATAAAACACATTTAAAAAGTATTGTCAGCGTCAATAAATGACAAAAGCCGTTCTTTGTTTTTATTACTAATAATTTTAACTAAAGCTCTATTTCTATAAGCTTTACATATTAAAAATTATTTTAGTATAATATTTTAATTTACTGTACAAGGATATTTATTTTCATTTTAAAAAATAACCTTAAAATAAATAAATTTTATATATGATTTTAATTTACAGCATTTTTGTTAGGAAATTGAATCCTAATTAGCTGTGGAGGAAGAATGAGATGAAATGGATGGGAGTGTTGAAAGAAGTTTCTTTGAAATTGAGATGGAGAGAAATTTGTACAACTTGTTTGGTCCAACCTTTTAATTATTTTGTTCATACGACCAGTGGAATAGTATTTTATAGTTACTTATGGTTCTTTTAAAAGCGTGTCTGTGGGAATATTTGAAAATATTTAAGCAATAATCTATAATTAATTGTAAAAGCAATTACTTAATATGAAAAATATTTGAAATTGAAAGAGAATTCTATTATTAACACTAATACCAAGAAAAGTCCCACTTTGATGAGATTGTTTAATGTGAATTATATTTATCCATACACGCCATCAAATTTTGTATGATTTTTTCTAGCTAGTCTATTAAAATCTCAATTTAATACTACCAAAAATTAATTACTTTCTTTAAAAAAATCACCATAATCTTAATTGAAAAATGTAGTTTTTTTAAATATTTAATTAAATACTCCACTATTTTTCTGTGAACAAAATATTTTAAATTCTTTGAAATATCAATCGAATAACTATTAGAAAATTAGACAATTTGTTAAAATTTATCAACAACGAAATATTACCAGAAAGAAAAAAATGAATGGGATGATCAAAATATTTTGAATTGAAATCTGACGTTGCTTAAGATTTTCCTTTTTCATTTTGAATGTGCAAAATAGTTTTTGGCAGAAGAAATGAAATGATTTGGAGTTGATTCCCTACACTATCATGAAATAAGTGTTGATGAAAAATAATACATAATTTGGTCGGATAGTTGTTGGGCTATGACTCCAACCCAAATCCGAAATTCCTTGGGTTTGGCCTGCCTCGCCCAAGTAGTTTCTTCTTTAAAGAACGTGTGAAAGAAAAAGTCGTTGCTAAGTCAACTTCACTGAAAAAAAAAACTGTTTTTCAAAGTACAGATCAAAGATCATTAAATTGTTACCTAGTAAATAATTTTAACTACACAAAATGATAAATAACAAATCCTATTTATATTTTAAAAATAAAAAGTTTTTTTTTTATATTTATAACTTCAACTTTAGATGTTTATTGCTTGTAAAACTATTTACTGTGCTATTGAATTAAAGTTAAACCTTAAAATGTCCACAACTGTAGCATTCTACGCTATCTAACTAGTCACATTCTTCAATATTCAACATTTTGTTAAATGAGTTGTTATTGTCTTTCTTTGATAATAAATACAAAATTGAAGAAGGTAAACTACTTTTATTTTTTCCTGAAACTAAATCCATGTATTATTTAAATAGGGATGCCATTGTAAATGTTTTGTCCTTTCAATAAACTAATAATTAAATAAAAATCATTATATTGGCAAGGAAGAAAAATTAATATTTTTAATGAGATTTCATTGATGATTTATTTGTAAATTATATTTAATTTTATTCTCATCAGAAATTGAATATCTATATAATTGAATGGATTAATAAGGTGTTACAAACGAATATATATATATATATATATATATATATATATATATATATATATATATATATATATATATATAATAGTCATGTAATTAAAATATATATAATTCATATATAGATATTTAGATAGATTTTTACTATTAATACTTACAAATATTTTCTCAAGTAATCTCTTACTTTTAAACATAAAAAACAAAAATTATTTGTATGAGTAATGATATCATCATAGACCATGTGCATTATTGGAAAATAGAATAGACTATGCACTTGGTCTGTGTAACTTAGATTAGGTTTCTAAGAGAAGATAATAATATAATATTTTAAAGTGAAAAACCTACTCGATGTGTGAAGAAAAAAACCATGACACTTCATTGTAAGCCTTTGTTTATTTCTATTATTTTACTGACAAAAATAAAGAGATAGATTTAAATAAATTTATTATGTTTGTTTCAACCAATTTACAATGATTTTGTGAGCATCATATTTGAGGTCCACATTTATCAAGTCAGTCATAAAATAAAGAAGATTTAAATGAAAAATCCGTATAAAAGGTTAAAATTATTTTATTATCAGTTAAAATTATCTATAATAAATTATATAAATATTTATATTTGATTATGTGAACATGCACAATTGATTAAGCAATTTCATATAATTAATTAGGTGTGAAATTATTTATCTTTAACTTTAATAAAAATATTTTTTTAATAATTATTTTATTGATCCAATTTTAAAATAATAGTATATAAAAATTTAATATATTTTTATAATATTATTATTTTATATATATATATATAACATTATTAAAATATTTATTAATAACTAAATGAAATATGTGAAATCAATATGTTAATTATATGATTGTTTTAAAGTATATAATAAATTGATATTTTTAATTAATAAAATTTGTAAGTGGGTTGAGATTAATTAATCTTTATAAAAAATTATTGTCAATAGTATCTATATCTTTATATAGATAATAACTTGTAATTTCATACATTTTTTATTTTTTAATTAATATACAATTCTCATTTTTAAATTTTTTATTATTTATAGTTATTTATATCTATTTATATTTATGTTTAATTTTTTATTTTTAATATAAAAATATTATATATATATATATATATATATATATATATATTACTCGCTAACTAATTATATTTTAATTTAATTATAAATTATAATTTTTCCATATAATTTTAGAAACAAAATATTCTTATCATTAAAGTATATAATTTTAATTAATTAATTTTATTTTAATAATTTTAACTGCTCAATTACATGAATATATAACTAATCGATTATATTAAGAAGTAATATTATTATATTTAAAAATAATATTATATTTGTTATATATAAATTAATATCAAAACATTAAAATATATTAAAAAAAATTAATTTATTTAAATATATTAATAATATAATATACATTATTAATAAATTTTAATTTTTTTAATAATGTAATTTTAATATATAATTTAATTTTTATTATGATCTTTTTTATTATATTTTATTTTTTAATTAATAAAATGGTACATGATTTAAAATAGTTTATTTACAAATAATTTAAAATTTATTTTCAAATAATTTTCTGACAAATATTTTAAAAAAATTTAAAAATACTTTAACATTTTTATAATTATAAAAAATAAAATTTAAATACTTTTTTAAAATATCACAAATTATTTGTATAATGTAAATATAAATTAAATCTCATATTTAATTTTTATTTATAATTTATATTAAATGTATGTCACATTCAAATTTATATTTATTTAATCTCTTATTAATACTGCTATTTTGGTTATTATATATTTTAAATAATTATTTCAATTTAAACAACCTCATGTTTTACTCCTTTTTTTTTCTATTTTTCACTCCTTTAAATTTAATCTCTAATCCAAACATAAGCTAAAAAGTAGATTAATAAATAAATAAAAAAATCTCTCTTTTCAAGAAGATAGATACTAACTCACCCTAAAATATTTACAATAATCAAATCAAATTCTTAAATAATATATTTAAAATAAAAAATTACTTAAATAAAATATATGTAAGTTTATTTATCTAATTAATTTGTTTATTCTTCATACACAAAATTCAACAATAGAAAATAAATTCCTGTGATATAATATAATTTTTTTTCTCTTTCTTTATTTACTTGTTATTTTTTCTTTTTCTTGTGTTTGTTTTCCTTTTTCCTACTCCTTTTGTTCTTCTGTTACTCATCTCATTCTTTTAGTTAAAAATACAAAACTAAATTTTGATAAAATGGGTCTTTTATTATTTTTTAAAAATAAAAAAATTTAAAAAATACTACTGTTAAATATATTATATTTTATAAAAATATTACATTATAAATTTGAAATATTACAAATTATTATGTTATAATTGTTAAGAAAAATTAAATAGTTATTTTTAAGTAAATTTTTAATAAAAAAAATTGTAATTACCTAATATGACTAATCTTCATAATTTAACCTATTTATAACTAGATTACATTACTAAATAAAAAATATATTTAGCTCATAAATATCTAATGAAATAATTTAAAATTAATTATTTATATTATCGTAAATAAAGTTTTTTACTATTATAATAAATAAAATTATTTATTGTCATCATAATTTAAATAATTAGTTAAATATTTTTAGTTTCAATATTAATTTTTAAAAAATTTATATTAACACAATTTTATTAAATTTAAGTTTTAATTAGAATATTAAGGGAGAAGAGAGAGGAAAAAAAATGTGAGACGGACCAAAAGAGAAACAAAGAATAAACAATGAGAGAGAAACAAAATTTATAATTAGAAGAGTATATTTAAAGGGAATGGTTACCAAAAGTTACATAAAATATCTTTAATCGGAGTTTTTAACAAGAGTGGTTTACAAATTTGACATCAAATTTTGAAAACTCAGATCGACATACATTTTCACCATCTCTCACATGCAACATATAAATATGTAAATACATAACTATATAAATTTATAATTATATAAAAATATATAAATATAAAAATATATTTTATTTATACATTTACACGGATATACATTTTTTTGTATATAAATATAATTTATTTATAAATTATTATCAAAAAATCTTAGTAGCTTAGTGGTTGGAGTATCAGCTTTTACCATTAATGTAATGGGTTCGAATTTATCAGTGACGATTATATTAATTTGATATTATTTCAACTTTTAACGTCGGTTGACTAAAAGCCGACGTTGAATGTGTCAAAATTCAACTTTCAATCGACGTCAGCTCAGCTTTGACCGACTTGGGTGGAAAGTATATTTTGTAGTAGTGTATTATGAATAAAATTGAATATTTTATTATGTGTTCCACATCTGGGTTACTTAAAAGTGAAGAAAGTTGTTTATATAAACAACTCTAGCCAAGTTTTAAGTAACGCAATCTGTATGATCCATAATAAAATATTTAATTTTATTCTTAAGAGATCTCCAAAGGAGTTTTTAATAAGAGTTGGTTAAGAATAAAATTAAATATTTTATTATGGATCTCATAGTTGAGTTACTTAAATTTGGTCGAGTTGTTTACCCAAACAACTTTCTTCACTTTTAAACAACTTTCTCTATTTTTAAGCATATCAAATATAGAACATATACTAAAATATTCACTTTTATTCCTAAACATCTTCCTTGGAGATGCTCTAAGCAACTATAGTTAAAAACTCCATTTTTAGATGTTCTAATATGGGAAAATAAACCTTCGTACTAATAGTAAATAGATTTGCTTGAGTTCTTTTAAATATATTATTTATAGGATTGTTTATGTTAAATATAGTATTTTTTAGATAATTTAAATATTTTTATTTTTTAGAAATAATAAAATATTCATTTTATCAATTTTTAATTTTTAATTAAAAGTTATATTTTTAAAATCAAATTAGTCACAAAATCGGTAAAGACATATATTTAGGATTTAAAAGTTTAATAAGTCCTACTGAATTTAATAAATTTATCTTTCTATAATATAATAAATATATATTAAATTTATTAATAATAATATATTTTATTAAAAAAAGAAATAATAAAAATTATTGTTATGATTAGGATAAATTACAATTAAAGTTATAAATATAAAATATAGTAAAAAGTGTAAGATAAATAACTGTTAAAATAAGATATAAATATAATAAAATAATTTTTATTTAAAGTTGACGTAACCCATATGAAACAAAATAAAAATATATTATATCTTTTATAAAAAATATATATTAAAAAATTTTAATCTCAATTTAATTAAAATTTAATTATTTTAAAGTATTATACTCATTTCTAGTCTGATTAGTCAAGTTGAAATTTTAAAATAATAGTTAAAAGAATGAGATAAGTGACACAAAACAAAAAATTTTAATCTCAATTTAATTAAAATTTAATTATTTTAAAGTATTATACTCATTTCTAGTCTGGTTAGTCAAGTTGAAATTTTAAAATAATAGTTAAAAGAATGAGATAAGTGACACAAAACAAAAGAAGAAAGATGAAGAAAAAAAACATTAGGATAAAAATAAAAGAATAACAAAAAGTAAATAAAGAGAGATAAAATAAATAAAAAACAAGAAAAAAAAACTATATCATATCAGATAATCTATTTTTTATTATTGAATTTTATATATGATAAGTAATCAAGTGAGATAAATAAACTTCCATTAGTAATTTTTTGTTTTAAATACATTTTATAAAAAAATTGATTCTCTAACAATCTCATAAAAAATAATGAAAACTTTATTTTCTTTCTCAAAAAATTTCCAACTCATTACTATTCTTCAATTTATTACTTAACTTTTCTAGTATAGGATTGATTTTCTCCATCAGAAGGAATAGTGAATATTAAATATTCTTTCCTTTAAATAAATATATATGTCTTCAAGAATTCAGGATAATTTTAATAAACTTAAAATAAATCATTTATTAGTTTCTATGCATACAAATTCTAAGGACAAATATACTTCCATCATACATTATATTTTCTAATAATCAAGTTTATTAAATAACTTTACTTAATCTTAAACAACCTTATTAAATAATGATCTTATATATTTTAAAAAATTTATAAGATTATAAATAATTATATATTATTATTATTATTATTATTATTATTATTAGGAAGAGTATCATTCAATACTGAAACTTTGGTAATCATTTATTGTAAGTTTGTTCTTTCTGCATGCTAAAAAATTAAGAATCAATTCTGAGGCAATTTGATTATGCGACAGAGTTCTTCACCATTTACATCAAACTAAGTTAGTAATATGTAACAAATTATTTAACTTTTGTATAAATGTATTACAAATTATAACCATTAAAATTTGGAAATAAAATGAAATGTAATAAAGGAAAAGAAGAAGAAAGACAACACATGTAGATGAAAGTGGAAGGATAGATAGAGAAGTTTCTACCAACTGTTCGCTCTTTTCACAAAAGAGAATGTACAGGAGAAGCTCCGTACAACAAGTTGAGATTAGTTACAACTTATAACTGCTACCCAACTACTTTTTTTTTTTCCCTTGCTTCTGCAATCTATTAGATAAAATGGCAAAATATAGCGGAATAGCTTCTACAGAACAGTTTAAATGAAAACAAGTTAGCCAAACCTATTCCTCAAATCAATTTATTTAACTCTTACCTGACTAAGCCAAAGGTTAAAGCTAAAATGGCAAAATAGATTTTTTTTTAAAGAGACCCACGAATGCCACAAATAAAATATGATTATACCAACTAGTAGTTTTCGTAGAAAAAAAAATAATATCATAAGAGTTTGGTTGAGAAAATCGAATTTAATACTATTTGAATGAATAGTTTGGTATAGGGTGTATTTAAAATAAAGAAGGGGCTGATGGGTGTTTAATATATTTGTTTATATAATGATTTGTAGTGGGTGACTGACATGGAAGAGCTCAAGGTGGGAGCATGGAAAATAAGAAACCCCACATAAGATAGTTGTAATGGTGATTGGGAAGTAAAAGGGTGACACACGCCATTCCATGAACCTTGACCCAGCAGTAACGTAGTGTACTGATGTTTCAGACCCATGCCCTATGAGTTTTGCAATAAAATAATAGTGTGCTTAGGCAGAGTCATAGGATCATGCGCGAAAAAAACCGCACGCGCACTGTCTCTCGAGTCCTCGCACCACCACAAAGGTGTTGTGTTGGGTTGGTTCCTCGCTCTTGGATTCTGCTATAGAGCCATCATGTGTTCCCCCCACTCACCATTGTGCCCTCACAATCCATATTTTATTCATGTTTGGCACAATTGTTTCTTCATATGCCCCAGAGACCTGAGATTCCACCCACTCTCTCTCTGCTCTTCAAGTTTTTGTCTTTCACTCTTTTCACCCCTCCTTCCCCTTCCTCTTGGATCTCCCGTCCCACTTTTTATCATTCCCCTTTCTGTCACTGATTTATTGTTTCTTTATCCTTACTTAATTCTTGAACTAACATTCTTAGAAGGACAGCTTCATTAAAACCAGCATGTTCACTTCCAACCATAACTGACACCAACATTATTTCTTCTACTTGGACTACTCTACATCAAATACTTCACTCTTCTCCCTTTAATCCATCATTCCAAGTTTACCCAACACACTCCTGTTCAGTTTAAATGCCATTGCCATCATCATTGTAAATTTCTCTTTTATAAGATTTTACCTTTCTCATGGGTTCAATCGCGTTATACTCAATCTTCTTAAAATAATCACCTTTATGTATTTTTCTACCAGCTCTTAATTCAAAACCTATGCCATTGTCTTACATTTTCTAAGACAAAGTAAATAATAAAATTGGTCTATAAATTGATTTATTCTGTGGGAGAAATGATATATCATGATCCATACGGTTGTTTATTTACACAAGAATTATAAAATAAATAAATCCTTTTGGAAGTGTTAACTTAAATTAAAAAGGCTGAATATAGAGAACAGCTAAGTGGTAGCTCATCCCAATATGTGGCCAGCCATTCAGAGATACTGCAACATTCCTGCTGCATGGTCTGAGTCATCTATAAAATACTTCAACTTGCTCTACATTGCTGTACACTTCTACCAATTTGCAACCAAATACTATCATATAATTAGTTGCATAATACAATTAAACTATTGAATAACGGAAAGGCTTATTCTCAAACATGTTTACTTCAAGAGATAGGAACAAAAATAATATTTATTTTATCCTTAAAATAATCAATTGGACCAAGTAGTGACCAGTCGTTAATCATTTTACAGATTTATAAGACATTCTCACATGTCACAGGAAAATCTTAACCATTTTTAGTACGTATACCCCAAGTATATATTTATGTGTGTTATTGGTCCACAACTAGAAGAAAGTGTAGGGGGTATGACAATCAGTTATTCTTCAATTCCCGGAAGTGCCACCAACCAAGGTCAAATGTTAGTTGTCAAATACAATTTTAATTATGAATGTAATTGATTTATTTAAGATTTTGGAGGGAGCTAGATCAAATTCTGAATTCCTATGCAGTTCATGCATGACTTGAAGAAAATGTGGTTATAGTTATATATAATGCCGAAATAGTTTTGCACATCTTATAGTTATTTTATCCGTCCTTTTTGTTTCATTGATCAAGAGTGTCATGCCATTATTTTCCTTAACCTTGGTTCCGAAGGGAAGTAATGTCTTGAGTTTCCATGCTTCTTCGTGCGCATTGCACATGCACCAATCAATTTGGACATTTCCATTATTTTGTTCGATCTGAGATTACAAGCTGTAGTATAACCTGAAAAACCTATTTTAAGGCAACACGAAAAAGCTTCTGCTTTGTCATCATCCCACTTATGTTAACTATCTCATTATACTAATGACTTGACAAAATACCCTCTTATACAGCTAACTACGCTACTTTATGTATGTGGTTCCACCTGTGATCCATGTCAGCCAATTTGTGTTCTTCTAGGACCCGTTGAACAATTATGCAGCCTAGGAGCTATTCTTAACACTAAAGAACATGTGTAATCATGAAATACAGCCACACTGGCTAGTTGGACCGAAGAACAAGAGAAGTATGCATGCTCAAGGCAACTTTGTGTTTAGTAATACCAACTTACGAATTTGCTTGTTGGCACTTGAAACTGTGTGGTTCATAAGTTGGCAGACGAAAATTTGTGGTCTATAAGTTGGCACTTGAAACTTTGGGGTTTCTAAGTTACCTTATTTTATAGTATGTTGTTTTATAAACATCTCATTATTTTAATCACGTATGGGGTGTATTGTAAAACTTGCTGATTCCTAATTTTACCGAATTCCGAAGTGTTGCTGTCTCAATAAACAAAACAATCATGATGGAAGAAAATTAAACAACAGTACTTTCACACAACTGACCATTCTTATGCTTTTTCACGTGACGTATAAATTTATTCACACTAGTTTGAATAATTTTCTTAAATGATTTACGTTGTTTAGGCTTATCACACTAAGACCATAGGATATGATGATGCAAGAAACTTTTGTTGTTTTGGTTTCCTTAAATGCATTTTAGTGTTTGGTGAGAGAAATTTATGATTGATAAAATTAGAAATAGATAGATGACCAAAAATAGAGTATGGTCGGGGGGTCCATCCTATGTTGGTATAGTAATCCTCAAAAATGGACGTGATATCCTAAGAGAAAGGAACATTTTTTCCTTAACATGCAGGGGTCCCCTTGGACATTGAGACGGATAGATATTGGTTTAGGAGGAGGACCGAAAGAGCATAGAACTTGGCCCCCCACACTGGCAAAGTACAACAAGTTCGGAGTTCTCGGGGGTGGGGCGTGGCTAAGAGAACACGATATACCACCAATTAATTCTCTCATTCTTGGACTTGTACGTTAAGCAGAATTTAAGTCCCTACACCTGTTTTCAGAAAATTCTCAACAGCTGAGCCTATGAATTTGACCCTTACCACCTAATATTAACTATCTCAAAACCCCCCATTGCACTTATAACACTACCTATGCCTAGCCTGTTTCTTCCTAGCTTTGAAAGAAAACAATTTCAAGGACAGTAGCATAAAAAAAAGGACAAAGTGAAGCAAAACTTGGAGTCTAGATCATCAACTAATACTTTCCCTTCCTTACACTCATTAATGCTGTTAAATTATTTCTTTCTCATCCTCTACATCACATACATAAGGTTAATATTTCCTTGCATACCGGCATTTAATGCCTCAACTTTCAACTCTCATCTCACAGTGTAAACATAACTTTCTTCTTCTTATTTTATTTTTTATAACAAAGTGGTGTTTAGTTCAGATTTAACCTCTTCTGTCTTAAGATATACGATTTCATTGTTGTTTAACAATCATAATTTTTTTACCTTCTGTATATTTTTTATTTTTGCATTTAATTGAAATTAAAATTACTCCTAAAAAAACTTGGCAGTAATAGAGTAAGGATTTTGTCTTGGTCTACTCTTTCTCAAAGGGTCTCCTGGCGTCTTCTATATCAACCATGTTTGTCTTTTTTTTTCCTCAAATATTGTTACTTAAATTGTAAATCATAATATATATATATATATATATATATATATATATATGACTTTTTTTTAAAGAACACTGTATCTGTATATCTAACTTTTAGCATCAAAACTTTCCACATCTGTAAATTTAATAATTGGTTCACATCATTATGTAATGTGATAAAATCTTTAGTCTTTACAAAAGAAGAACATTTCTCAAATAAAGAAATGATATTAACTGGATACAATTTATACTGAATATGTGTATTTTATTTTATTTTAAACGTTAGTTTTTCGAGATTTTAGATATAATTTTGTCGTTGTTGTTTAGAAAATGGATATGTTGACCATTGTTCTAGTTAAGGAACTTCTCAGGGATCTCCAAATTGACAATTGTTGAACCATATTTCAGGTGACGCGATTCTCTTCACGTTTATTAATGCCTACAACCCCATGGATGACACTTGGAGAACACACAAGCATGTTTTCTGTGTCACAAACAAGAGGTATTTTACTTATTTTCATCGTAGAACAAAATAAACTATGATGAGAACATCTTCAATGTAAGTTCAGTTTTGTTATATAACACGTTGTGTTTAATTTAATTCATATATATGCCGTGCTGTGTATTGTGTCGTTATTAAGTTGAAATGAGTGGGGCATAATGAATAATAGAAAGGTCAAGAAAAAGAAAATGTTGTCTAGATCTTTATAGCAATATCTATAATATTTTAACATAATATTTTTGTTATATTCATAATTATTTTTTATTCTACATATAAAATATTATATTGTAGTGCTTAACATTTCAACTTAGCGTTATATTCATAATAAATATTATTAAAATTTAAACTTAGCGTGGTAATATATTTATTTTTAAACATTTTTAATGTTGAAAATCTATAATTTTTTTATTCATTGTAGTGCTTAACATATAGAATTGTAATATTTTATGAATTAATCTTGAATAATTACTTGACTGATTCAATGACCATTCTAATATTGGTTGGTATTTCTTTTAAAGAACGTATACTGAATAGATAATCTAGATCTTTCTTTCACAGACAATACAAGAGTCGGGTATTTTATGTTTAGTTTATTAGGATTGTGAATGGTTGTTACTAAAAAAAGGAGTTGCGTATTTAGGATTAGTTTATTAGGATTGTGAATGCTTATAACAAAAGGATGCATAAAAATATTCATCGGTGATTAAAAAAAGGCATAGAACTCAAAACAAAGAGTTGAAGAGGAACTTTTACGTATATTAAACATTTACAAATACAACCAATTAAAATTAAAAATGAATACTAAAATAGTTGTAGCACAATTATATTATTATGTGTAAAACATAATAAATAGAATAATATTAGTAAATCTAAGCATAGAAAGAGGAGGTATATTGCATACGCTGGTGTTTAGATTTGGTGAGTGGGTGAGATGAATGCGGCGAGTGAAGACAGAATGAATAAAAATAAGATGAAAGTGAAGGGAATGAGAAACATTGATCAGCCAAGACAAATTCAGAACGGGGAATGCTCACCATCCATTTCCTCTTGAAAGCTAAAACAGAGACTAGAGATAGAAAAGAAGAGAAGGAATGGGAGAGAGAGAGAGAGAGAGAAAAGTGAATGGTTGTCTTTTAGTTAATTGAAGATGGATAATGTAGTGGGGTTGGAAAGAATTTGGTTGGTCTCATTCCGTTTTCCACGGTTAATCCTTCCATCCAAAGTTGGTAACCATGTCATCTATCTATCTATCCATATAAATAAAAACACCAAAGTGTGTTGTTGCTGCTTGCTTGCCGTTCCAAACTTTCCTACGTGATTTGCTCATCATTTCAGCCTCCACGCTCATCATGTGATGTGAGTGAGACACATCCATTCATTCATACACACATACATGAAGCTGTTGGACGAAACCAATTCACAATTTCCGCTTCCAATTTAAATAATAATACTAATTAATAAAAACAAAAATAAATAAAACCCTACTGCTACCAAAAATTTTTCTCAACATTTTCTATACTAGTTTCCATTTTTTGTGTTTTTACAACCAAATCAGCATCTCACAAAAATTGTGGAATCACACGTGCCAAACCTTAACAACCAACGCCCCTCCGCAACTCCAAAACCAAGACCCACTCCAAATCATGCCTCCCACACCACAATTCGCATCTTCCATCCCCATTTTGTTTTGTACATTTTCCGTTCCCCAATTTCTACTCTCTCTTTTTTTTTTTTAGGTTAAAAAACAGATAGAAAAAGGGAAAAAAAATGAAATAAAAAAGAGAGTAGGAGTAGTAGCTGGATTTAGCTGGAAGACCTACTCCATCAAGAAGCGTTTCACAATCTTCACGCTTGGTTCCAACACCTGTCTCTCCCATACATCGGACCCATTGTTGGACCCTGACGTCACCACCACTCGAAATGCTTCCGTAGCGTCGATCCTCCGTAGGTCCCACCCAGCGCGTTTCAACCGTTCGATCTTCCCCATCTGACGCTCCGCCAACTCACACGTGTTCTCCTTGATCGCCCGCACCGCTTCCTCGTACGCACGCTCCCGCAGAGGACCCTCGCCCGGGCCCGCAGGGCCGGCCCAGGGTGGGTACTTATTAAAAAACTGGTCGAACTCGGGAACCCCAATGGCTTTTCTCAGACCAGACCCGGTTGGACGCGAAGCGTCCGGGTCGAAGAACTGAGCCAACTCGTCGACCATCCCCGAGTGAAGCATGTCGTCGACTCTGTCACGCAAGTATTGCGATAGCACAGGGAAAGCTATGTCGACCCAGAGGAAGCAACACCTGTACCTCAACTCAGAGGATATAAGCCCCTCGTGGTGGTTGAAGACGTTGGAGTGAGGGTGGAAGTCTTGGACGAGAAGCGCGTGGACGAAGGAGTTGGAGCCGCCGACGACGATGGGGAGGTTATCCCGGCGTGTGATGTCGGTGATGAGTTGGCCGGCGCGGCGGCGGAAGTCGGCGGGGGAGAACTCCGGGAGCGATGGGTCGACGTCGCCGAGGAGGTGGTGGGGGACGCCGCGGCGCTGGGCGAGGGGGATCTTGTTGGTGGTGATGTCGAGGCCGCGGTAGACTTGCATTTTGTCGGAGTTTATGATTTCGGAGAAGGGGAAGAGGGTGGCGAGGTCGATGGAGAGGCGGGACTTGCCGGAGCCGGTGGCGCCCATGATGACGACGACCTTGTCCTTGCGGCGGTGGAAGGAGGCGTCCATTCGGGGCGAGCGCTTTATGGGGTGGTGACAGCGCTGCGGCTGGGGTTGCAGAATGGAAAGCCTCATTTGAGAAAGAAGAGGAAGTGAAATATTTTGAATATTAATTAAAATAAATAAGGCAAGGGAAAGAAACAGAAAGGGTGTGGGTGTGGAATATTCAGAAATGGCATTGCGAAACGCGAAATTGAATTGCGCACTTGATCGTACTATTACTGTTACTGTTACAACTCATCCTAGTTTTGTCGGGTGAAGGGAAGGAGAAGGCCTTTATTCTTCCATTTGCATTACACAGTTTCGTTCTGTTTTTCAGAACCCTTCTCTCTCTCTCTCTCTCTCTCTGCTCTCACTCTTCTGTGTTCAGTGGCATGAATGAGAGATTGTGGAGACTGAGAGGAGGGAGAAATATCCCACCTCCTATTTAAACTCCCAATCTCATGCCCATTCATTCATACAATACTGCTACTGTCTCTATCTTTCTTATTCTTCTAAATATATTCTTTCTTTCTTTTTTCTTTTCAAATTCTCTCAATATATTATTAATATGCTTTTCTCTTTCTTTTACAAGGATCTATTCATAATTTATATATTTTCTTTTCCAATTAAAAACAGTATGACAAAATTAAAACACTGTAAACTTTTGATACATCAGCATAGCTTTCTAATTTTGGATACTGTGTTAACGTTACCGCGTAAGAGAGGAAGCAAAAAAATATCTAAATTTATGCAACTTTTTTAATTTAAAATTATAATTTAATCATTTTAGTTTCATCTACAGTTTTCCGAATGATGAATGAAAGACCAATATTCCATAATCGTATTTTTTATTTTAAAAGTGGCATTGATAAAAAAAAATATGTTTTCAGTGCTCAAAATTAAGAATCAAACTCTTATTCACGTGTTTAATAAAAAGAAAAGTCTAATGTTAATAGTCTCACACCATTTAATTTAATTCAAAGTTAAAGTATAATAATAATAATAATAATGGAGTGTTGAAAGAGTGAAAGGCATTCCGATGACATAGAAAAAGGATTACGTAGGTGAACATCTTTTGGATGCCATGTACATAATTTCTTTAAGTCTGACGAGGAGTTTTATAGATTATTGAAAATATCAAACAATAATTTATTGCTAGATAATTTTTATGATGGACAAATATGCATAGGTTGGTAAGATTTATTCGTTCTATTAACTTTTTTCACAAATATGCCTGAACAACAACGTGAAAGATTGCTTCTTAAATCTTTAATTTTTTAAACACAAGTCAAACTCATACTCTCTATATATACATAGAAATAAACTCATAATACATCACATTTTTATTTATATACCAAAATAACAACAAAACAATACGTACATGTTTAGATAATTCATATTATTACAAGTTTTAAGTGGCTAAAAGATGTTTAAAATTAATTATATCGTATATATTTAGAAAATATAAGAAAGATTAAAAATGTATTTCATTCTATAATATCATAAATAATATATTTTTTAAAAATTATTAATTTTTTTACTAATTTATTTATCAAACTAAATCATACATACTAATTTTTTCTCTTTTTTTCCCTCATTCATTTCCATTCCCCTTTTTTACAAATTTTGTTTCTCTCTCATATCTTAATTTTTCTTCTAATTAAAATATTAAATTTAAATTTAATAAAAATATATTGATTTTTTAAATTAACACTGTAACTAAAAAAGATATCAAATACTTATTTAAAATAATGATGATAGTAACAAATTTATTTATGATAATAATAAATATTTAAAATATTTTATCATAATAAATCAACTCTCATTTAATTAAAAAATTATTAAATATTTACCAGTTGAATTTATTTTTTTATTCAATAATTTAATCTAATTATAATTAAGTTAGGTCATGATGATTAATTAGATTAAATAATTTATAAAAATTTATTTAATAATATTTTATTACTTTTAATGTTGAATTTCTTAACAAATTGTTTTGATATATTTTTATCAAATTTTCAACATAATTTTTTAAGTATAAGAATAATATAGAATGAAAAATGAGAATAAAAAAAACACTAAGAGAGCAAGGAGAAAAACAATGAAGAAATGGTGAGAAATACAAAAATAAAAATAAATGAAGGAGGTGAGAGAAAAGAGAAGAGAATGAATGAAAAAAGAGAAAAATAATCAATAATTATATTCAGTCAAATATTTGATATTCTGTAAACAAATTCTACATATAAATCTAAACAAGTTTAATTAGTTAAATAAATTAATAAATATTTAATTTAAATAAATTTTCTTTTAAATTATACTATTTATGAATTAAATTGACTGAAATTATGAACACGGGATAATTCTATTGGTTGAGTACAACATAACATCCTTAAACAGTGTGTGAAAAAAAAAAACAACTTTTGTAAGATTCTTTTCTTCAAGTTAATGTTACATGCAATTCCATTTTCATTTGCAGAAGGGTCAAAGAATTCATTACACCTAAATCAAATCAATTGCAAGAATGTGACATCTGCTTTTGGGGACGGAGCATGTGTAACATAAGGATAATGAATTTGCTCACCCTTTTATGTGAAAACAAAAAATACAATTATCTATATGTTTGGTCCATTGAACACAATAGAAAATACATATAAAATTTTAATTTTTTTTTGTCAATTACTGAAATAATATTGGAACTTAACTATTTTAGTTTAGATGGCTTGAGAAAATAATAAATTCAGTAAAAAAAAAACTTATTTAACCAAAAGAACATGATTAAAGGAGTTCTTTTAAAATTTTATTAATCATATAATTTAGTCCTAATGCATGTTGTGAACCCAATAAAAAAAATATGAAATGGTTAAAAGTGAATTAAAGAAGACAATAAAGATTATAATATTAGTTAATTAGAAACAAACTTTGTAACTATTATGTCAAAATATCAATAGCGCATGACAACTTGTGTGATTTTTATTTCATGATACCACTTCACAAACAAACCAAAATCATTAATAAGAAAAAAATATAATAATTAATATCAATCAATTTTATACTTAAAATTAAAAGAATATATAAAAATAACTATAAATTAAAAACATATTTTATCATAATATATGATTTAGTTTACCAATAGGATGAAATATTAATAAAATTGTACTCTACAGTAACAAGTTAAAATAGAAAAATAAAACTATTATTTTTACTCATTTGATATAAAAGGTGAAAGAAATTGATTTCATTCATCTTTTCATTTTCACAGGAGGTGTTCACCGTTCACTCTAACTTGACAAGACAGGAATTATGTTAGAAGCTTGAGAAATTAGATATAATGTATCTCGAATATGAATTTAGTTCATGGTTCAAAGTGTTTCAACCGATCCAATTAATGTATTTATTAAATATTTTTAATTTATACCAATTATGTATTAATTAAATTATACAATATTTTATTAATATGTTTATAAAAATTATATTAATCAGACAAATTAACAAACGTTAATGAGTATAATATACTATATAAAATAAAATTAAAATTACAAAAACACTTCAATATGTTGGATTATTTTACAGGGGACGTGATAATTGAATAATAAAAATAATTTATATAAAATTATACTATTTTATATTAGTGTCAATTATTTAACCATTATTCTAATATTTATTGAAATTATAATATTATCATAAAAATTAATTATAAGTAATATGTTGACATAACACTCGTGTAAGTTTTATATGATATGTATGAAAATAAAAGATGCTCGTATTTTTTATCCAGTATTTAAACAATCAAGTAGAAAATGCACAATAATGCATATAAATAGTTTATAGTTAATAATTTCAGAATTTTTAATGTTAAATATTTAACAAAAATGTTAATTTGATTCTAATGATAATTTCATTATTCTTGAATTAACAATATTGATATTTAATTATCTTCTTGCATTAACAGTGTTAACACTCAATCATCTTAATGATATGTTTGTAATTATTCTAAAAACTTATTTGTTAAATGTTAATTTATATACAAATACATTTTTCCAAATTATAATTTTATGATAAATTAATTTTTGAAGTACAAATGTTTATTTGACACTATTTATTAATGCGTACCATGATGATCAACCTAAACTTGTGAATAATTAATTAAATTAAACAGTAATACTTGTTAAAACTTATACATGGACAAAATGTAAAACGCACCATGTACAATAAATGTTTTTATTTATACTCTGAAAATATATTATAATAATTTACTTGTTCAAGAAATATTCTTTTAAAAGATATATGGTTTTTTCAAAATTTATCATAATTATAAATAACCATCTTATAAAAGGTACCACTACCTAATAGACAACTGTAGAAAAAAAAAAGTATTTTTTAAGACTGAATTTGACTTTTAGGATATTTTTTTCAAACATATTCTTTAAAAACAAATTTGGATAGCGATTTCATATTTAAAATCATAAGTTTTGATATTTTTATACTTTGTATGTGTGATCTTGATTGCTACGTCATAAAATCTCCGTCAACTTGTAGTATTAGACTTTGAAAATTTGGTAATGGACACTAGCTTCTATGGTAATAACATCTAATATCTTACAGTTGAAAAGCTTTTATTTTTTAAAATATTTTTTAAAGAATTGTCTTAACACGTAAAATATTATATATATATATATATATATATATATATATATATATATTAATACAAACACATACCTTAAAGTGATTACATTTTTATATTTTTTAATTAGTTTTTGCAATCTTTTTTTAGTTTTTAAATATATCTATTCTTTTATATTTTTAATATTTTTTAAATATATAAATTATAATAGGTGATACTAAAATTATTATAAAGGAAATTTTTTTTATGCATTGTTATAAATACTATCTAATATTTTTTCAAGAAAAAACTATTTTCACACTCACATCTTATAAACATTCCCTCAACAACTGATTTTAATATTATAATAATAATTTTAAATTATTTTATTTTTATTAAATTTTTATTTTTATTACATTTTTTTATGATTATTATAATAATAAAAGAAGTGGTTTAATAAATATTTTCTCACGACCGGTTGTGAATACATCGGTGCTCATTTTTTTATTCATCAACTTAACACCTGACACAACCCTTTTACTTTATTACAGTAGATTAAGCAACTGCAAAAAAGTGCGTGGCATAAGCAACAAGCAAAAGAAAACAAAAATGAAAAACTTGTCTGAATTAAGGGTATGTAAAATGGGTAGCATGTAGAGGAGAGAAGAATAAGATTGGACACACGAAAGACATAATAGAAGTAATTGAAGACACAAGTGTTTTGAGGTATGTGGAATGCATGCTCTCTCCCTCGAGACCAAGAAGAGGCTATGCCATGATGGTCTGCCCCTAACTATTGTGAAGGGCACTGTGGGATATGGTCCACTTTGGTCGCTTATGCGAAGGGCACAGAGGCATGGCTTGTGCTTTGCCTTCACCTTCTCATTGGTGGCAACAACAGTGGTGTTGGTGTGTGTTTATATATATAAACACACACAAATTGTAGTTTTCACTACTCTCAATTTTCAAGGTCTCTTGTGCTTGACTACTATAGCTAGATTATGCAGCATGCATGTCTTGGCCTTGCAGTTTCTGACAGCATGCGTGGCTTTCTAGCCCCCACTTTCATTCATAAATTATGTTGCTTTCTTCTCCTTAATCTATATGATATCACATTTATTGTTATGTTGACGTGTGTAATATTCTCATCTTATTTATGACCATGCTATAGATATATGTATATGCTTGGAGCCTCACAATATATACTTAAAAAATCTGTTTGGCCATTCACTTTTTGCTATAAAATATATCATCCAGTATATATATATACACTAGGTTGCTGATAAAGAAAAATAAAACTAGGTAGTACATGAAGTTTAGATGGAAAAAATGTATGCTACTTTAAAACACAACAGGCAAAGTATTACTGATATTGTATATATGGTATGAGTGGCAACGATGAACAGAAAATGGAGTTAATTGCTCAGCATGTCAAAGTAGATTTGAATGCCATGCCAATGACCTTGGATGAAGGTTACCTCGTAGAATACATATATAATATATGCTGACCCCATTTGATAATATTTTGGACAAGAATCTTAAAATTATTAGAACTTGATGTTTTTGGATGTATTAATAAAACTTATCCTATTCATTACTTTCTCTCTCTCTCTCTCTCTCTCTCTCTCTCTCTTATATATATATATATATATATATATATATATATATATATATATATATATATACATACTTGAATAAGTATGCTTTTAGTGTCAGACAATTTTATATTATGGTTCGTGTCATTCAAACTATCTATTTTTATGAAGAACATTATGTTTAGGGTTGTATAATTTCATATTTAGGGTGACATTTTATCTTGTTGATACTGGAAACCCTATTAAAATCAGGTTTTTTACAAATAACAAATATTTCTTAAAGTATTTAAAGTATTAAAAGGAAAATATTGTTAGAATTAATTTAATTAATTCATTTCATTATGTGACTCATATGAAATATAATGATAGACCTAAATGTGATTTAATAAATTATAAGGATTTATTGGTTATTATGTGAAGTCAAAATAAAATAAAGATAAAATAAAATATTAACTTACGGTAACCAACTTGATGGACGTTGGTTAATAAAAGAGATTACGGTTCTGTATCTGTCCATTAGTTTTTTTTCACGGTAAACCATCAAGAAAGCGAAGCTTGAGAAAAGAAAAAAAGACAAAGAGATAGATTGGGAAAAGGAGATTGGAGAACGAAAAGATCAAAGAAAAGATTCTCATAGATCAATATTAGTCTTCTTACTATGATTCATGTATTGATGTATGCAAAATTGTGAAAATCAATAATCTAAAGATTCTGTAGAGTAGTTTTCTATAATGAATTAAGAACGTAGGAAAACTACAGAAAAGTTTACATGTGCTATCAGAGCTATAGTTATTAGATTTATGATTTTCCTCTTATGATAGTTTTTCTCAAATTATGTTTTTCTCAAATTAAGATTAACCCTAATTATGAATTTAGGGATTTCTCAATCAGATTAGCATGAACCCTAATTCATTCCCATAATATGTTTTTCCCAAAATTGAATAACAAGACAAGCCCTAATTTATGGATAAGGCTGTATTTAATTTGAAATTAAAATCAATTTGATAATTTATGTGTTTCAATGGTTATGCAATCCTTTTAATTGAAAAGAAAATTTAGATATTTTAGTGTTTGGCGTCACTAATAGTTTTTATAATGTAATTAATTTCGCTGCAATTAATTAATGATGGATCAAAATGACGGGAACTGGGCAATTGAAGGAATTCATGTACATGTTGTGCGCCAGTTGCATATTAGGTGCGCTAACGTGCAATTGAATTGCAAACATGCTTAGAGTTCCCTTACGTGCGCCAGTTGCATATTAGGTGCGCCAACGTGCGCTAGTTGCATATATTAGGTGTGCGAGTTGCATAAAATGAGAATAAATGTGAATATATTTGATTTTATTTCCGTGGCATTTGTCTTATTATGAATGTTGGCAGCTGCAATTGATTTAAATTGCAATATAAATTTGAAACGTGAATGTTGGCAGCTGCAGTTGATTTAAATTGCAATATAAATTTGAAACGTAAATGTTAATGTGGAGGCCAAAATGGGATACATGAATGAATTATGGTTTGTCATTGCTAAATAAAAAAAAATAAAATAAAAAATAATAATAATAGAAAATGTTATAAATGATTAATAGCAATTAAAGTTATTATTTATTTGAAATTAAGTATGATAAATTTTGTTAGTCACCAAAGTGGCCAAAATTTTAAGGTTATTTTAATTTCAAATTATTAATGATTTTATTTCAATTACCCATAATATGAACACTAAAATTATGAATAATTGGTTTATGGGTTAATTGAAGTTCATTATTATAAGACATTTCGGGATCACCCAAAGGTTGATTAATTGTTATTATAATTAATGAAAATGAAAGTAGATAATTTTGTGTGCGTCACTAGTTTTATTTAAATACCCAAAGGTATTAGGTGATTCTAGTTGATGCATATTTTAATTATCATTAATGTTATAAAATGATTAGCATAATTATGTTTGTGTATTGGTGGATCTCCCAAAGGAGAACATTAGTATGCAAAGAATGGTAATTTATGGTTGAATCTGTATTTATGTTTAATTTTATGACTCAAAGTATTAATGTTAGGCATGTGTTAATTATCTGTTCATGTAGCTCTGCATTCGCTATCTTCGTCTGTTCCAGTCTTTAATGGGTTAAATTTTCCTGACTGGAGTGAACAAGTCCAATTTCACTTAGGTGTGTTGGATCTTGATTTGGCTTTCCAAGTTGAAAAACCGGCTGCTATCACTGATGCTAGTAGTAATGAAGACAAAACTCATTATAGAGCTTGAGAAATATCAAACAGACTTAGCCTTATGTTTATGCGAATGAGTGTAGCAAGCAATATTAAGTCTGCTCTTCCCAAAACTGAGAATGCGAAAGAGTTTATGAAATTTGTGGAAGAGCGCTCTCAAACTGCTGACAAATCCCTCGCTGGAACATTGATGAGTACGTTGACCACCATTAAGTTTGATGGTTCTCGTAGTATGCATGAACACGTAATCGAAATGACAAATATCGCAGCAAGACTCAAGTCTCTTGGAATGGCAGTGGAAGAAAATTTTCTTGTGCAATTCATTTTGAACTCGTTACCGCCTGAGTATGGTCCGTTTCAGATGAACTATAACACCATGAAAGACAAATGGAATGTGCATGAATTGCACAGTATGTTAGTCCAGGAGGAGACCAGACTCAAGAACCTAGGAAGTCACTATATTCATTACGTGAAAAATCAAGGAGCTAAAAAGAAAGTTGTTAAGAAACATGGAAAGGGTAAAAGACCATTAAAGATTAATGAGTCCTCTACTAACATTCAGAAGAAAAATGACAAATGTCATTTCTGCGGGAAGTCTAAATATTTTCAGAAGGACTGCTTAAAGCGTAAAGCTTGGTTCGAAAAGAAAGGTGAGCATAGTGCTTACGTATGTTTTGAATCAAATTTAACTGAAGTTTCCCATAATACTTGGTGGATTGATTCTGGATGTACGACTCATGTTTCTAATGTGATGCAAGGATTCCTTTCAACCCGAACCATAAACCCAAATGAGAAGTTCGTCTTCATGGGGAATAAAGTCAAGGTTCCAGTGGAAGCTGTCGGAACTTATCGTTTAATCCTTGACATTGGATATCACTTAGACCTTATGGATACTTTTTATGTACCTAGTATCACTAGAATTTTAGTTTCTTTGTCTAAACTTGATGTTGTTGGATACTCTTTTAAGTTTGGGAATAGTTGTTTCAGTTTATTTAAGCGTACATGTATGATTGGAACTGGTACACTTTATGATGGTTTATATAAATTGAATTTGGATAATTTATATGTTGAAATTTTCATGACCTTGCATCATAATGTTGGCACTAAACGTAGTTTGGTGGATGAAAGATCTGCTTATTTGTGGCATAAGCGTTTGGGACATATCTCCAAAGAAAGAATGCAAAGATTAGTAAAGAATGAAATCCTTTCGGATTTAGATTTTACTGATCTAAATATATGTGTGGATTGTATTAAAGGCAAACAAACAAAACACACAAAGAAAGGAGCCACAAGAAGCACTCAACTTCTTGAAATCATACACACTGATATATGTGGTCCATTTGACGTAAATTCTTTTAATAAAGAGAAGTATTTCATCACTTTCATTGACGATTTCTCGCGTTATGGATATGTCTATTTACTATATGAGAAATCTCAAGCAGTAAATGTCTTAGAAAGTTATATAAACGAAGTGGAGAGGCAATTAGACAGAAAGGTGAAAATTGTCAGGTCAGATAGAGGTGGTGAGTATTATGAAAAATATGATGAAAGTGGACAACACCCTGGTCCGTTTGCTAAGTTCCTTGAGAAGCGTGGTATTTGTGCTCAATACACAATGCCAGGCACACCACAGCAAAATGGTGTATCTGAAAGGCGTAATCGAACCTTAATGAATATGGTTAGGAGTATGTTGAGTAATTCATGTTTACCTGTATCGTTGTGGATGTATGCTTTGAAGACTGTCATGTATTTGTTGAACATGGTTCCTAGTAAAGCGGTTCAAAAGACTCATTTTGAGTTATGGACTAGTAGGAAACCCAGTTTAAGACACCTACATGTTTGGGGTTGTCAGGCAGAAGTAAGAATTTATAATCCACAAGAAAAGAAACTGGATGCAAGAACAATCAGTGGATATTTCATTGGTTATCCAGAAAAATCAAAAGGGTATATATTTTACTGTCCTACCCATAGTACAAGAATTGTTGAAACTGAAAATGCTCGGTTCATTGAAAATGGTGAAACCAGTGGGAGTGAAGTTTCACGAAATGTGGAGATTAAGGAAGTTAGAGTACAAGTTCCAATAACTAGTACATCTTCAAGAGTTGTTGTTCCAAATGTTGTAGAATCACACGACAATCAAGAAGAACAACAAATTAATGATCCTAAGATTAACAATGATCCAATAATAGAACAACCACAGGAAATAGTATTAAGAAGATCTCACAGAGAAAGAAAGTCT